GTACTCATTTGATTTATCAGACTTATCATAATTATTAAAAAGTCAAATTTATATGAGCCTGTGCCTAAAAATGGAGGTTTTCCAATGAAGGGGTGCCTTACATGAAGATGTAATATTTTCAAGCAATTTTAAATTTGTAAAGCTTTTTGGTTATAAATAATCCTTACATATGTATTTAATGTACTTTAAATGGAAAGAAAACTCACAAATAACATATCATATTAGTTTAAAAGGGTCTTAGGCCAAGTAAGACTGAAAATAATTTAGGGTCAATTTAGGCCGTAGCACATATTTACATTTAAAAATGCATATTGAAGCTATAGGAAATAAAAATTTGTGTCTTTTCTATCATTTCTATACTCAGGTGACATGATACAATAAATCTGAGCACAAAAAGACTCTTGCATTCAACTTTTTTTGCTGACAGTATGGTCTGATACAAAGATTTTTCACTTTTTAGTGAAAAACATGCATGCAATTTTAGTCGCAACAAGCTTATATTTGAACCACTTGCTATCCTACAGAAGAAAAGAAAGATATTATGTGACATGAAACAGGTACAAAAGACATTGTTAAGTGCTTTTTATACAAATTTAGTGAGGTCTTTATTATGGACTTCAACTTTTATGTTCTAAGCTTCTTACATTTAACTTGATCCAAACAGGGCGTTAGACGAGGGTCATATATACAACACATTTTGTACATATTGTCTGAGATAATCTTCTTTTCTGTAGATTCAGAGTTCACAAATGAGTAATACAACTGGATTGAAGCATAGAAACACAAATACTGACACATAAAAACCTGTCAGATAGAAAGTCAGAATGCCACTTATGCATCAAAATTGAAAAAGCTATGAAATGCTTATTTTGACCATAATATGCCCAAATTGGTCATTTTTGCAGAAATTCTATCAAATAAAAGTTTAAATCCTTTAGTTTTATGCTATTTGACAAATTGACACCATCAAATCATTCAGGGAAGTTGCCAAAGTACAGATTCTATATTTCCTGATTTCACCTCTTAGGTCCGAGTACACAGTTATTTCGTAGTGCATTTCTTTTAGACAATAAATGAAAATTAAAAAAATCCCAACTGCGCTTTCTCAATAATATTTTTACAGTGTGTTGTACTACTTTTGCGACAAATTATATCAAAATTATAGAAAACTTCATCGGCTCTAACTCAAAATATGGACAATTTTATGTTAAGGGGGTCTTCAAATCTTTTGACAGCTTCCGAAGTGCTAATTTTTAACATTTTTCAGCTGGACCAAATCACTACTTTACTTTAAAATTCATGACCCAAATTTTTTTACAGTGTCATTTCACCCCCTTACTTGCTATTTGAGTCATAAAACATGGAGAAATAAATTTGGAAGGGGTATAAAAAAAAATGGCAAGTAACACACTGTCCACACTAGGGACTACATTTGTGGACAACGAAAATCAAAGGACGATAACTGTGTACTCGGACCTAATAGGGTAGAAAAAGTTGACCAATCTCAATGAAACTTGGTATGACCAAAGCTTAATAAATTATAAAACTGCCTACAAAGTTTCATGGCAATAGGATATATATTATAGACAATATGACTAATTCTATATTCAACTTTGCGTGTTAAATTTAGACGTTAAAATTGAAAAATTTCAACTATCAACATTTGGGGCTTAAAAAATTTAAATATTGCAAAAAAATACTTTTGAAATGCCTTAATATATAAAATATTATGTATTAAAAGCAATTGAGTACTCATTTGATTTATCAGACTTATCATAATTATTAAAAAGTCAAATTTATATGAGCCTGTGCCTAAAAATGGAGGTTTTCCAATGAAGGGGTGCCTTACATGAAGATGTAATATTTTCAAGCAATTTTAAATTTGTAAAGCTTTTTGGTTATAAATAATCCTTACATATGTATTTAATGTACTTTAAATGGAAAGAAAACTCACAAATAACATATCATATTAGTTTAAAAGGGTCTTAGGCCAAGTAAGACTGAAAATAATTTAGGGTCAATTTAGGCCGTAGCACATATTTACATTTAAAAATGCATATTGAAGCTATAGGAAATAAAAATTTGTGTCTTTTCTATCATTTCTATACTCAGGTGACATGATACAATAAATCTGAGCACAAAAAGACTCTTGCATTCAACTTTTTTTGCTGACAGTATGGTCTGATACAAAGATTTTTCACTTTTTAGTGAAAAACATGCATGCAATTTTAGTCGCAACAAGCTTATATTTGAACCACTTGCTATCCTACAGAAGAAAAGAAAGATATTATGTGACATGAAACAGGTACAAAAGACATTGTTAAGTGCTTTTTATACAAATTTAGTGAGGTCTTTATTATGGACTTCAACTTTTATGTTCTAAGCTTCTTACATTTAACTTGATCCAAACAGGGCGTTAGACGAGGGTCATATATACAACACATTTTGTACATATTGTCTGAGATAATCTTCTTTTCTGTAGATTCAGAGTTCACAAATGAGTAATACAACTGGATTGAAGCATAGAAACACAAATACTGACACATAAAAACCTGTCAGATAGAAAGTCAGAATGCCACTTATGCATCAAAATTGAAAAAGCTATGAAATGCTTATTTTGACCATAATATGCCCAAATTGGTCATTTTTGCAGAAATTCTATCAAATAAAAGTTTAAATCCTTTAGTTTTATGCTATTTGACAAATTGACACCATCAAATCATTCAGGGAAGTTGCCAAAGTACAGATTCTATATTTCCTGATTTCACCTCTTAGGTCCGAGTACACAGTTATTTCGTAGTGCATTTCTTTTAGACAATAAATGAAAATTAAAAAAATCCCAACTGCGCTTTCTCAATAATATTTTTACAGTGTGTTGTACTACTTTTGCGACAAATTATATCAAAATTATAGAAAACTTCATCGGCTCTAACTCAAAATATGGACAATTTTATGTTAAGGGGGTCTTCAAATCTTTTGACAGCTTCCGAAGTGCTAATTTTTAACATTTTTCAGCTGGACCAAATCACTACTTTACTTTAAAATTCATGACCCAAATTTTTTTACAGTGTCATTTCACCCCCTTACTTGCTATTTGAGTCATAAAACATGGAGAAATAAATTTGGAAGGGGTATAAAAAAAAATGGCAAGTAACACACTGTCCACACTAGGGACTACATTTGTGGACAACGAAAATCAAAGGACGATAACTGTGTACTCGGACCTAATAGGGTAGAAAAAGTTGACCAATCTCAATGAAACTTGGTATGACCAAAGCTTAATAAATTATAAAACTGCCTACAAAGTTTCATGGCAATAGGATATATATTATAGACAATATGACTAATTCTATATTCAACTTTGCGTGTTAAATTTAGACGTTAAAATTGAAAAATTTCAACTATCAACATTTGGGGCTTAAAAAATTTAAATATTGCAAAAAAATACTTTTGAAATGCCTTAATATATAAAATATTATGTATTAAAAGCAATTGAGTACTCATTTGATTTATCAGACTTATCATAATTATTAAAAAGTCAAATTTATATGAGCCTGTGCCTAAAAATGGAGGTTTTCCAATGAAGGGGTGCCTTACATGAAGATGTAATATTTTCAAGCAATTTTAAATTTGTAAAGCTTTTTGGTTATAAATAATCCTTACATATGTATTTAATGTACTTTAAATGGAAAGAAAACTCACAAATAACATATCATATTAGTTTAAAAGGGTCTTAGGCCAAGTAAGACTGAAAATAATTTAGGGTCAATTTAGGCCGTAGCACATATTTACATTTAAAAATGCATATTGAAGCTATAGGAAATAAAAATTTGTGTCTTTTCTATCATTTCTATACTCAGGTGACATGATACAATAAATCTGAGCACAAAAAGACTCTTGCATTCAACTTTTTTTGCTGACAGTATGGTCTGATACAAAGATTTTTCACTTTTTAGTGAAAAACATGCATGCAATTTTAGTCGCAACAAGCTTATATTTGAACCACTTGCTATCCTACAGAAGAAAAGAAAGATATTATGTGACATGAAACAGGTACAAAAGACATTGTTAAGTGCTTTTTATACAAATTTAGTGAGGTCTTTATTATGGACTTCAACTTTTATGTTCTAAGCTTCTTACATTTAACTTGATCCAAACAGGGCGTTAGACGAGGGTCATATATACAACACATTTTGTACATATTGTCTGAGATAATCTTCTTTTCTGTAGATTCAGAGTTCACAAATGAGTAATACAACTGGATTGAAGCATAGAAACACAAATACTGACACATAAAAACCTGTCAGATAGAAAGTCAGAATGCCACTTATGCATCAAAATTGAAAAAGCTATGAAATGCTTATTTTGACCATAATATGCCCAAATTGGTCATTTTTGCAGAAATTCTATCAAATAAAAGTTTAAATCCTTTAGTTTTATGCTATTTGACAAATTGACACCATCAAATCATTCAGGGAAGTTGCCAAAGTACAGATTCTATATTTCCTGATTTCACCTCTTAGGTCCGAGTACACAGTTATTTCGTAGTGCATTTCTTTTAGACAATAAATGAAAATTAAAAAAATCCCAACTGCGCTTTCTCAATAATATTTTTACAGTGTGTTGTACTACTTTTGCGACAAATTATATCAAAATTATAGAAAACTTCATCGGCTCTAACTCAAAATATGGACAATTTTATGTTAAGGGGGTCTTCAAATCTTTTGACAGCTTCCGAAGTGCTAATTTTTAACATTTTTCAGCTGGACCAAATCACTACTTTACTTTAAAATTCATGACCCAAATTTTTTTACAGTGTCATTTCACCCCCTTACTTGCTATTTGAGTCATAAAACATGGAGAAATAAATTTGGAAGGGGTATAAAAAAAAATGGCAAGTAACACACTGTCCACACTAGGGACTACATTTGTGGACAACGAAAATCAAAGGACGATAACTGTGTACTCGGACCGACTTGTTCAGAGTCAATATAATAGGAATTTTCGCCGTGACGTCACCAAGTCACGTGATTTTCCGACTGGTTGGCAATATAACGGATGTTTACATATGCGACAAGGTGTCACATGTCATTTCACGATTACATTGATTAATGATGGTTGTTTCGTGTTGTGTAGTTAATTGTACAACTAGATTTGATAAAGACAACCCTAACAGTTTTTTCCGTGTCCCCAAAAAGCCTGACACTCGTAGAAAGCTTTGGATTTCTGCTATAAAGCGTAGAGATCATGACGGAAAAGCATGGGAGCCGTCTGACCATGATCGTGTGTGCCATCTTCATTTCATATCAGGTAGGTTTTTTTTTCATTTATAAAGTGTGTCAATGTTTTGGGAAAGTGAGGCTACAAAAAAAAGTGCATTATTTTTTTCATTTATATTTTGAGGTAACATTTCTTATTATTTATAACCAAATTGTAAAGAACCTATGTAAGCACACCAATGTGACAAGGAAGGGATCTCTTAGGCACAGACAAGTGAGGTGACCTGAACTTACTATCATATTTTTGTAACAGATTTGTATTGAATAATACCTTGCATGTATTTATTTAAATATTTCGTAAGTGTTTTGAAAGAATATTAGGATACATGTATGTTGTAAACAGGCATTGAGCCAATGGCAATGCATTAGGTGGAAATTATGTGTCAAAATGTACTTATTTATATAAATTTTTACAACTGTGTTTTATTTTTTAGGACAGAAAAGCAACGATAAAAGCAATCCTGACTATGTTCCTTCCATCAACATGGGTTACGATGAAAGAACAGATGCAACTCTGCGTGCTGCCAGACATGACCGTCTTCAGAAGCGTGATGCTGAAAAGGGAAGGCAAGAGGTGGCCAGTGTTCTTCTAGACCTTTCTGAAAATGTTCCACCACCAGAGAAAGGTATAAATTTTACTTAAATATATTATATTTACATAAAACATTAAATGTCAAAACATGATTTTATTCAATTTAATGTAATTGCTTTCTTATATTATAGTTCTAAATTGTGTATGAAATTTAAATTTAGCCACTTTTATTGATATCCTTAATTACTTTTCATTGAAATGCAGCATAATACATTTATTTGTTTTCAAAAGGTTTTTAAGTCACCATATAAATGATAAAATTTCAATTCGAAAATAATCATAGGATTTTTTTTGCTATTATTTATATCTATGGCTCTCTGTTATGCAGTTTTTTTGTTGTTATTTTTTTAATTTCCTACAAAGTTCTGTCTTCTTATTTCACTTATATGTTAACCATTAAATTTCAGCAACTACAGGTTTGCACGACCAATGCATCAAGACAATAGCTTCACTTCGCATTGAAAATGAACACTTGTATACAGAATTAGGCAGACTACAAACAGAAAATGCTCAGCTTAAAGAAGAAATCAACAAACTGTCCTTTGGAGACCAAGCTATCGCGACCAACCGTAAAACACAGTTCTATACTGGTGTTCCTACTAGGGCACTTTTTTTGTGGTTAGTAACATTCTGTTCAACTATACTTCCAACTTGTAAAGTTATGTCACCACCAAGTGTTCTATTGTGTATTTTGATGAAACTCAGACTGAATATCCAGCATCAGGACATTGCCTATCGCTTCAGGGTGTCTAGCACAACTATTTCAGACTTATTTAACCAAGGTATACCTAAAATAGCTCAGAAACTTGCTTTCCTAGTGCAATGGCCAGATAAAGACAACATTATCAAGAATATGCCAGTAGTGTTCAAACAGTCATACCCTAGGTGTGTTAGTATTATAGATTGCTTTGAAGTGTTTATACAAAGACCAAATCACTTAACTGCTAGAGCACAAACATGGTCGAACTACAAACACAACAACACCATCAAGTTTTTAGTTTCGATAACTCCTACCGGTGCAATTTCATTTGTGTCTAAAGCTTTTGGTGGGCGTACTTCTGACAAAGTTATAACGCAAAGAAGTGGTTACTTAGACAAGCTAGAACATGGTGACCAGGTATTAGCAGACCGGGGTTTTTTAATTGCAGAGGAGCTTGCAAGTCGTAATGCCTCATTGATTATACCAGCATTTACCAGAGGAAAGTCGCAACTTAGTGCTCGTGAAGTAGAACAGACTCGAAAAATTGCTCATGTGCGTATCCATGTAGAAAGAGCAATCGAGCAGTTGAAGAACTTTCAAATTCTCAGCAGCCAAATGGGGATTTATTTAGTACCACATTCTGACAGTATTGTGACTTTATGTTCAGCTATTTGTAATTTGCATCCTAAACTTTTATCTTAAAAGTAAATATTGACAGAGAAAGATGAAAGACAGTTTAACATAATGTTTTAATGCATATGTACATGTACAAGTACAACAATGTAACTATATATATAGTCTTTGTATCAAATGATGAACTTCCAAGTATTTTTTACATGGTGATTGTATTGTTTTGTACAAATAATTCTATTTACAAAATCAGCAGCAGTGTATTGAAATAATATAAAGATAGATTTCAAACAGAAAGACACTGAAAATATGTCAATATAAAGTGGTAATTTCTTTGGTTAAATAAAGTGAACACAAAGATAGCAGTATCAAATGATTTTTTCTCTGGTGAAAGTTACCTTTTGTACTCAAGTAATAGAATTTTTACTGCATTAATAGGTAAACAGACAAAATATTTGATTATTGTAATTTATTCCTACCATGCATGCATGCATTGTATTACTTTGTGTACATAATCATATGCAGATTACATTTTCATATACATGATATAGAAATAAAGAATGTCTAATTAAGCCTCATTATAATGTTAATCTTATTGTCATTGTCAAAGGGTCTATTTTTCACAGTTCAAGCAGTACCACTTTCCTCTTGGCTTACGTCTGATGTTTACGCACTTGTAGTGAAACCATTGATATGGACAATCTAAGTTCTCACATTTGATCATACGTCCATACTCTGGTTCAGAACAAAGGCACCATGTTTCTGTCTCGTTATTGTTGTCATCTTTTGTAGTTGAAGTTGTGGCGGGTTGGTTTTCAAGGTCTCTGGTAATTAGTTCTTTCACAACATAGTCTTGGATAAACCTGTTACATTTCACTATCATTGAATTGCAGAAGTTAATGTCTATTGGAACGCGTATGATAACTAAACTAGGTAATGGCTTACATTTTGTATAAACAACAAAGTCACAGTAAGTTACTTTCAAAATATACATCTGGAACTGTATCTGTGTAAAATATCTGTGGCTAGTTTTTAAGTGCAAATTTTTGTCAAGACAGAAAGTAGAGTCAGTTGCTGCAGCATGTTCAATTGTATTGTCTTTATGTTTATATGGACATTTAATCTCAACAATGCCACGGCCACAACACTGGCAATTTGTTATTCCATCTGGACTTGCTCCAAGGAAGGGATTTTCGCTGCTAACATGAAAGCCACTTTGTGAACAAGTAAAGTCTAAGTGCTGTTGTGTCTGGTGTCTTGCATAACTTTGCCGACATTCTTCTTCGTGGTCAATGCCCCACTTAACTGCCACCTTTTTTGATAAGTCGTAAGAACTGTATCCAACAATGCGCTTTACAAGATTTGCTGATGGTGTTGTTGCTTGTCGTGTCAAAACATCATGTGCTTTAGAAGCTGTCACACGGCCCATTCTGTGCTGAAACCATAATGGGCTTACTGACTGATTTCTTGTGGCTACTTCAAGATTTGCTGACTGGTAAGATGAACAACTGTATGTCTCGAATAAAGATTTACATTTGAGGTCTAGATCATTAGGGTCAGTGTCAGTATCTTGGAATGTTGTAAGAAGCTTTGGAAATTTGTCTGTCTTGGTAACAGGTTGAGGCTCTTGAATTTGAGAGGGTGCTGTGACGGAGGTGAAGAAAGCAGCATTAGGTATCAAGGAATACAAATCATCAATGACTTCTGGTGGTGGCATTGGTGCTGATCCAGTTGCTTGTACGGAACATACATCTTTCACACGACGACCTTTAATGTGCTCAAATATGTCGGTAATAGTAGTTGGTGTTACCTAAAATCAAAACAGTAATCAATAAGAACATTTCTTTAATTCTGTTATTCATTTAAATTAGACAGTTTATATACTAAAGCAACAATTAATACACAAAAAATACACATTCATTTTTCCTTTTAACCACAGCTTCATTGTATAAAATAAAATATATCCATACTAAAGTATGAACCTTTTGATCAAACAGCACACTTGTACTTGTGTATTTACATTCATCTTATTATATTAATCATGACTCATATTAATTTTCATGCATCTTATAATTAGAAGTTGTTCAGTGGTGTGTATTGTCCAGTTGCTGTCTCATTAGTGTATACCAAATTTTTTTCTTTTATCAATAGCTCTTTTGAAAACATGCACATAAGTTGTCTCATTGGCACTCATACCACATCTTCCTATATCTACATAAGGTTTTGTATATATATTAAATTGGAAAGCTTATGAAATCATTCAAAAATTACACTCTTTTTGGCTTACACTGGACGATATTTTCATTTGAATAGATAAGTCCTTACCTCTTTCCTAAAGGTACTGTTCCACTTGCAAGCCTTGCTTGTTGAACTTGTCTGGTTTAGTCCCATCTTGACACCTATTTCCACTTTAAACAACAGTGCTGCAACATGGCTGCATACTTCTCCTAACCTGAATTAATAAAAGAAACACATTTAAAAGATTGTTCATTAATGTCTTTTTTATAAAGATATACATCGACATGAATGAAATATTGCAATGGATACCATGATTACAATTGTATTATATAGCTTTTAGTATACCACTTAAACAAAAAATTAGCAACCAGACCTAAATAATACTTATGGATGCTGTTTACTGTAGGTCTGAACATTCTAAAAGTATAATAGACATTTAAATTTTGCAATGGACTTATCAACCTTACTCATGTGCTGTGTATAAAGTGATTTGTAATAAACTGCTTTTTAGAAACTTAAGCAGACAGTTGGCTCATTGGCACTCATACAATATCTTCCTATTTTTGCCTTTAACACCATTGCATTGATATTCATGTTAATAAATTTTATTTCAACATTTTTTTACAATATTAAAATATGATTAAATAATTACCCTGCCATACAGGTACAATGAGCACAGTACACTGTACCAGTCATCTTGTCAAGGTACACCCATGGCTGATGTGGTTTGTCTCTTGCTCTTTGGGATGGTGTCACCTTAGTCTTTAGGGCCATGAACGGGCAGTCATCTGAGATGGGATGAGACAAAACAACTTGGACATGTTCACTTATAACATAACTGCAAAGATAAAATATAAATCTTACTATTAAAAAGAAACATTCATGACATTAAAAAAATAGAATATAAAATTTTATAATATTTTTTTTTTATCATAGTTATTAACTGAAACTTCATGATTAGCAATTTCATTAAATTAATTTTTAATTGTATCATCAGTCCACACATTTTAAAGATAATTTTTTTTAACCAAAACAATCTACTATATCTATTAATAACTTTCATTCATAATTGTGACATCTGCACAGGTAAACACATTCCATTACCATATATGGCTAGAAGTCACGTGATTTTCGCACAAGGTAAACAAATACACATTTCCATATTAGGTAACAGGGTGACGCCATACCTGTCCAAATCGATTTTTTTAGATAAACAAACAAAATACGCATATTTTAACGGAAATTTTTAAATGAATGAATAGTAAAATAACTTACTTGTATGCTTCTAAAGATTTGTAGGCTTTCATGGAATCTCTGGTGAATATAGACGGCGTGTCAATTAGATAGGTGTAGATATCCCCAAAGGTGAGGTCTGGCCAGTTACTTGGGTTTGTGCTCCATTTATCGCTTAAACTATATGGATCTGGAAGTTTTTTTGTGTCGGAGGCATAATTCAACTTTGTTTGGTACCTTTCTTTAGCTTCTATTGACAGTGTATCGTAATACGACGAGGAAATAACATTTTTGGAAACTTTATCGACAGTGCGGTCAGCCATTTTTACGATAAGTGGTTCTTGCCAACCAATTTTCTGGACCTACGTCACTTCCGCTTTTCGCGGACATTCCTATTGCTGACCAATCTTGTCTTTGTGGGTGCATCATTGAAACTGTAAACCATTTCATTTTCGACTGTTCTTTATATACAGGTGTACCACCAAAGCATAGTACGTCACATCCGGTTTCATACGAAAAAGGGTCGAAAAAAAATATTCCCTTGAATTTGACAGTTGTAGGAAATTAATCCTACATTTCAATGCAGTAAGTCATAAACATCTATCTTGGGTGTTTCAAAGCACCATTCTTTTTTTATTTGGTGATTCTATAAAATATTTCGGAAACTTGAGGTTTCATGGTTACTAAAGCTTGTAAACGGGAAAAAAGGGTGAACATTTGATTGATTAACTTCCAGTGATAGTTGTTATCTTATATGCAATGAAATGTTATGTGAAAATTTTTCTGTAGTATTGGACAGAATACAACTTTACTCATGCCAAGTATTTCTTTATTTGAAAGAAAGAAAAATTCATCACAATTTTTTGAAAAGTGCCAATTTAACAAAGACTAATAGGGAAAAACAATGGTGGTAGTAATCCTATTTAGGGAAGCTGCAGATGCACCTTTGACCTGTTTTGTACTCTCATTAGTTAAAATTTCATGCTATTTCAGTAAAATATTTCAAAAATGAAATATTCTGAGTGGACTGAGTCTCATAAACTCATTTTTAGATAAAATTGTCTTGAAATAGGGCTCTACCATGAATATAAGTAAGCAGAGTAAGCCATACTCAGTGTTTTGGGGAGCTTGTTCTTACTTTTTCTCCTTATTTCCTATATTTTGCTATAAAAGAAAACTATTTCCAAATAATACTTTAAGAAATATACAGTTATAAGTAAATGAAATTATTTTTGAAGCAGTAACAACAAATTATTCACTAAAAGGAAAGAATTTTATGTCCCTCTCTGAAGCCCAGTGTAAACTTAAGTTTTACGTAAGGACTTATTGAAACCTCCATTAAGTCAGTAAACTTTTATATGGATAGTTGATTCAGCTTGAACACTTCATTTCCTCATTTATTATCACATTCTTGCATAAATGTGTGATAGTTACCCAAAAATGTTGAGCTATTGGCATAAAAAGTTGAAATTTTGAGGAAATGAGAGGTATAAATGGACCAAAAGGGACCTTATAATGAAGACAAAGAGGTCCATTAGTGATATCTATCATTTTAAAGTCATCTTTTGCATCATATTCAACTGTTTGTATGCAGATGAGATGAATATTTGATTATCTATTGGTCCACATTATATTCTATCATGATGTGGCGTGATTTGGAGTTTTCAAAGAAATTTTGCTGAAATCGCTGTAGATGTCAACTTACATTAAACTAGATTTCTCTCAAACTATTGAACTGATTATTTTTTTCAGTCCTATACTTGTAAAGTATTGTATATTTTGAATATTGCATGCTCATATTAATATTGCATTGTAATATATTGTAATTCGGAGCGGATTTCATAAGCATGGTTTACTTGTGTCCAATCCATTTTACTTTGAGTAAATAAAATATGTTTAAACTAAACAAAACGCACGTCTGGAGTACAAAATTTCAATCCTGGTATCTTAGAAATAAAATATAATTATCATGATATATAGGTAAAAAGAACATTTTACGCATCTCTTTTTTTTTCTAAACCAGACTAGTCATCAAGGGATAAAACACAATTTGTCAAATGACCAGACTTTGATGTGATTTCCGATCGGAGAGAAACGATGTTTGTTTTATTTGTACTTTTTAACCATTTTGTATAGCGTTGTACAGGAAGGGTGTGGGTTTTAGGAAATAGTTCGACATCTGTAGGGAAAACAACATTATTTTATAAAAATGTACAATTGTTAAAGTATACACATTCTATTTAAAAAAAGAAACCATGTAAATTATTAATTATAACATAAATCCTATTCTATCATTTCTCGTCTTTCCAGCAGCTCACAAACATGCGGTTAGTCGCGGATGCACACATGTAAATCAGCACACAACTAGAAACTACGATCACATAAACCTCAACGCTTCTCATAAAAGCAACATCCCAGTTTTATTAGATATTTGCAACGATTGGTTTTGGATTATATCTGTTGACACGTGATGTATTTCCAAACCTCGACATTTCATACGGGTAACTACTGGCACTTTCTGGTTTTGAAGCTTCATCTAATGTCTCCATCTGAAAACATAGAAAATAATTTTCATGCGCCTTGAATTAACATTTTTTTGGAAAAAAACCTCACGATTTCATTATTAATTGATATTATATGATTCAAATTCACATTTTAGATAACACCATCTACATCAACAATTTGAAGACGAGTCATACAGTATCCGAACTTCACAACATCACAGTTATTTTTTTGTTAAATTTCGCCTGTACGGCACCGTGTTTATCCCTCCACAATCTCTAATATTTTCAAGCTTAATATTGTTAGTTTGCACAATATTAGTGCATGAATGAAGGATATAGAATTAACAATTTTCACAAAATCATTTTTTGTTAACCTAATTATCTTTAACCTTGTGTTAGTATGGATGAACGTACATGACATGTTTATACTGTCAAATCTTTCAAATGTTATCTAACAACTTAAAGCATTACAACTCAGCATCATATGTTTCTAACACGGAGACAACTAGTTTAATTAAAAACTAGCATGTACAGACCAGTATATGCTTTGAAGAACTAGCATGCACAGACCAGTATATGCTTTGAAGAACTAGCATGTACAGACCAGTATATGCTTTGAAGAACTAACATGTACAGACCAGTATATGCTTTGAAGAACTAGCATGTACAGACCAGTATATGCTTTGAAGAACTAGCATGCACAGACCAGTATATGCTTTGAAGAACTAGCATGCACAGACCAGTATATGCTTTGAAGAACTAACATGTACAGACCAGTATATGCTTTGAAGAACTAGCATGTACAGACCAGTATATGCTTTGAAGAACTAGCATGTACAGACCAGTATATGCTTTGAAGAACTAACATGTACAGACCAGTATATGCTTTGAAGAACTAGCATGTACAGACCAGTATATGCTTCGAAGAACTAGCATGTACAGACCAGTATATGCTTAGACAAACTAACATGTACAGACCAGTATATGCTTTGAAGAACTAACATGTACAGACCAGTATATGCTTTGAAGAACTAGCATGTACAGACCAGTATATTTGAAGAACTAGCATGTACAGACCAGTATATGCTTCGAAGAACTAGCATGTACAGACCAGTATATGCTTAGACAAACTAATATGTACAGACCAGTATATGCTTTGAAGAACTAACATGTACAGACCAGTATATGCTTTGAAGAACTAGCATGTACAGACCAGTATATGCTTTGAAGAACTAACATGTACAGACCAGTATATGCTTTCAAGATTTAGCATGTACAGACCAGTATATGCTTAGACGAACTAGCATGTGCAGACCAGTATATGCTTAGACGAACTAACATGTACAGACCAGTATATGCTTTGAAGAACTAGCATGTACAGACCACTATATAATTTACGTTTTGTGTACAGCTGTGTGGCTGGGTAAGACTCTTGATCACTCTTGTCTACTTTTCTGGTGTTTAACCGAAACACAAAATTCCGTATTTATTTATTTTTATTTTGAACCTATGGAACCGATTTTGCAAAAAATAAATGAAACCTACGTCCTCTTTAGAAATGCACCAGCCAGTTCCTACAGACATATTTTCCTCTAACTGTTTAATTGATGTTGCCCCGATTATTATAGATGACACGACGTCTTTCTGTAACAGCCACCTCAACGCTACCTGTGCCGCTGTTTTACCTGAAATAAGAAAATACAAAAAAATAATGTTATGTTTTATTCTTTATTCAGTATTTTGTGTGGAAGTGCAAATTTTGCCATTTTCAGCTGCAATTGTATGCTTATCGTGTAGTGGCAAAGATGTCATTCATCTTAATAATTAACAAATCAACTATGTAGGTTAAGCAAAGTGGGTAAATCGGGATGATTGCGAAAATGTTTGTACTGACACTGGAAAAATATGGTATGTTTGATAGTACCTGACATATGGTATGCGGTATGGGTTTTACTCATTCTGTACTTTTTCCTATATTTTTAGAACATGAACATTTTATTTATTTCCATTTTTGTCATATATCAAATTATGCAGTTGAAAAGTTAACCTTAAAATTAAGCTCGAAACAAAAGAGTTCTGAAAGCCAGATATATAACACTAATAAACAAACAATCTATCATCGTCATAAAGGAATAAAACTAATTATAAATGGAATTAAAGTTAAGATAAGGTAAATGTTTTTACCGTTTGTCTTTGCTACTTTTTCTACAACTGCCATGATATCCCAGTAAGTGTCCTTAGCGTATTTCGTCCAATATGAAGCCTGGGAATTCTTTTCGAAATCATACGCTAAACGACCACTCTTTGGATCCATCTTTTCATCTCGTTTGTATTTTCCAGTGAGCATACCACTTTAAGATAAAAAAAAAAATAACAGATAATAATGTGTATATACCATGTTTGAGGTGGGAACGTTTGTATGTTCATTTCTTCATTTTCTTCTAGGTAAAAAAAATATCTTGCCAGTGACTTCCATTAATTCGTATACGCTCCGTTGAGTTCAATGCTGTGACACTGACATGACGTATTACATCATGACACAAATTGTTTTAATTGACGATTTGTATTTATTTTTAAAAATTCATTTGCGACAATATTTTGTCTTTGGTTCCAATTTACAGATAAACACATTCAAAGCATAAGTTTCTTTGTGACATTAGTTGAATTAGGCATCAATTGAAAATGTATGGACTACAACAAGACTTTTAGTTTGAACTTGCGCGATTGATACAGTATGCGGATTCGAGCAGTCTATAAATTTTCTGCCCAAACATTTAAATATACACTTTTTATAATTTACGCACACTCATGATTTCATCAATTCAATATATACGTACCTTCTTAAAGGGCTCCATGGTAAAACACCAAGTCCTTCAGTCTTACAGACCTGGAATTCTTCCAATTCCGGATGTCGAACTAACAAATTGTATTGTTGCTGAAAAGTACATAATAGCAGAGACATATATACACACATATGTGTATATATGTCTCTGATAATAGTAAGACACGTTACAAAATTTTAATATAAAGTTCATACTATTCCTGTAGACAAAATAAATTTAGAGAGAAAGACGAAAACTCAAACATGCCTTTTATACGTTTTCCTTTGGGGCGATTAACCTCATCTAAATAATCTTTCTTATTCCTCATGGCATGGCAATTTGGCAGCTATACATTCCCATCACAATTCTAAAATTTCTCAGTTTAATTTCTCTCGACTAAATTGAGGCACACATCTACCCATCTCCTGTAGACAGGAGGTTAATGCACATACCGATTGCGTGTGGTATGGGATTTTTTTAATAAATTGTTTGATTGTAAATTTCTTGAAAACAAAAAATTCAGAATGTAAGTGATAAAAATATACCATGCAACCGGCTTAGGTACGCTTCATCAGGCATGTTCTTGAAAGAAAAAATAGATGAATCAAAAACGTTAGGCATCTGGGAGCCTTCAAAGCAAAAAGACCTAAGCAGAACAACAAAAACCATATCGTGTCATTTTTGCAAAAGGGAGTTGCAACCTTACTTTTCGTACAGTAACAAAATATATTAATATACATGACAACACTAAAGCACGTGGTACTTGACAGATAATGCCTCGGGAATTGACAGTTCAACAGCAGTAGGAGAAAAAAATCACGGTATGATACTGATCTCAATTTGACCAAACTTTACTTTGTAGTACTATCCGTTGTTAAAACTGTGATTTTGGCCAATAGTAATTTCATATTGACCAAACTATATTTAATTCAGTATCAGTGGATGCCATATTTTGTGATATTTTGTATTATCAAGAGGACCATAATGGTACCAGAAAAAGTGCACTAACGTAAAATCTTTGCATGCAAATCCACAAACACGCAATAGTAACAATAAGTACTAGTAGGTGGTTTTTTTTAGAAATACAAAGAGTCTTAAAAAGTCGTACACACCTTTTAAATGTCCTGGTTCCCTTGTCTATTTAAAAAGTTGCAATGAGATATTGGATCGGAAAAGTATGAACACACCCAAGAAATTAGTTAATATTTATTGAAAAATTAAATGAATTCGTCCCGAGCCGCACGTGCAAGGAGGGGCACTTAGTATGTCCGCCCATCTGTGCATAACACACAAATGTACATCTTGGTAAGATTATTAGTCATAGTCAATGTATACTGTCGTTTCGATTTGAAATTTTTTGAGACACTCGCCATGTATTTTTTTTTTCATGTTTATTTCTGTCTAAAATGAAAGAATTTTGGTAAAATTTTGTAAAGAACCAGTTTACATTTTGCATGGTTATGAATTTTGGAAATATGCGTACATTTGGCGACCTAAATTGAAAACATGTATATCGTATGCAAATTTCAATTATTGTTTGTTGAGTACAATACCATTTTAAATTTTCTTCCTCAAACACAACATGAAGAGCGGGGGATATTTTTGTGTTTTAAATTTCTCCAGTACATACTCATAAACATTTACATATTTTTCAAGGTTTACATAAAATGTGACCGCATGTTTTGTACAATCGACTCCGTATCTTTGCGACTTGTAGGTTATATTACTTTTTAAACAAACTGTTTTGCTATGTTAGATAAGATAATTGATATTTGCCAAGTACATACCTGCATGCTAATAAAACCTGTCAATCCCATAAACTTGGTATAATCAACAACTTTCTGTGTTTGCCATCCCAGTAAATTTGAAACCCCAAGATATCTAATCTTTCCACACCTGACCAGATCATCAAGAGTCCTGAGCGTTTCTTCAATTGGTGTAGCATCGTCCCACATATGTGTCTACTCATTAAATTAATAGAGATTGAAATGAGCAATTATATATGAACTTCAAATACAACATAAAAAATAAAGAAATGCATATCCGACATATGTCTTGTATAGGGGTTTGGGGAAGGGAGGCTACGAAATTTTTGACCAAAATGGTTGAACTATTTTTTTTTAAATTTTCATGTATGACTAATCTAGTCGTTATATTCCACTTATAGTCGATCACTACATTACTTTGAGAGGACACTGACCAATAGAGGAGCAGAATAATTCGATAATAATGTTGCAATATATTTTTGGTTAATTTAGGAGACGCGCGCACTTGCCCTTAATCCACCCTGAATGCAGCCTAAGTGGAACTGCTTACTAACTACATGCAAACTACACTAGATAAATCATACCGTTCAAACAATCTACAAAAATACACACAATGTTTTATATTGATACATATATTGTACACTTAAGATATAAAGGTCCATTGAACAATTTAAAACAACAATATTCTAATATCAAAATATTCGCTTTGCCAAAAACTAGTCTAATTCGTCTGAGACATTAATTCAATGTGTCAAAATGATTAATCTAACCTTTAGACGTGTAACGAACGAAACATGTAACGGATTCAGTCAAAATAAACACTATCATGAATAAGCCTTCAAAAAAGCTTATCTGACTTAAACACCTATCGAATGTAAACAGACGTACGATACTAGACTTTAGTTCAATTACGGGTATATTTTTAGATTCAGTTAAGTTAGGCTTAGATTGTGTTTTTGGTGAGGCTGTCTACAATGTTTACAAATCTGTTTTTTTCTATCATGACAAAATCAACAAATCCACAGAAATTGTTGACCTCAGATTCCTTAAATTCAATGTCTATTCTTAACCATTCAACATAGAACATCCAATAACCGCATTAGGTCAAGTTTGTAACTTGAAGAAGAAAAATGACTGTTTCATATTTGTCTTTTCCTTGTTGTATTGTCAGGTTCACTAAGTCTTGGTCACCCTGAAATAGGTCCGTCTTTGACAAGATGCAATAATGTTTGATATGGAAAAGTTAAAAATGTTGCCATTCAACCGCTACCACTAAGTTACCAATAAAGGATAAGAAGAAAATGAAAGAAAAAAAAAATCATATGTCAAACGCAAGTTAAAATTCTAAGTTAAGATATATTTTATATGTGTTACGTGAATAATATACCAATCTATGTCTAATACCTGATAAAGATCAATATAGTTTGTCTGCAAACGTTCAAGACTGTCTTCACAACATTTGATAATGTGTCGTCTACTAAGTCCCTGGTCGTTTGGTTCCGTCGACATAGGGAAACGACATTTCGTCGCCACTACAACGTTGTCTCTGGACTTCCTGAAATAAAATGATCAATATAATTTAATATCAATTTTCTTGACATATTTGGATTACATATTTTTTTAACACCTCTCGCGCTCTCTCTCTCTCTCTCTCTCTCTCGGCTTAGTTCTGTTGGATCTCGTTTCATAGATAAAAACTTATAGATTAAATGTCAATCATTCACTCATTACCTGTATAAGATAGATTTTTTGGCGGGTCGAATCGGTTTTTCTGCTGCTACCTCCCTAGTTTCACTTTTTTGGATGAGGGATTTGTTTTTCAATCCCTGTATAACATGCTGAACACATGTCCAACCCGTCTCCAGCAAAGGTTAAATCAAAGGTCGCATGGTTATGGGTTCAAATGAGGTTGAATTATTGACTTGCAAGCCTATAATACATCAGCGATGTTTTTTTTTAGCTTATTTTGACAAAACTGAACCAAACTGACTGGTAGTTGCGAAATATTATTTCAATATTCCGCTTTTATAAATGTTTGAAGCAAAACAAATCATACAGTAATTTTTTGTCTAAATCGAAGCTAATGATCATTTAAAGGAATTAGAGTAGTTGTAGGGCATACGTGAATGCGACAGCAACCTTATGACACAAAAACATAAAAACAAAAGAGGAATGTATCTGAGGACACAAATGCCCCCGCTTAAGCCTTTCAATTTTCCAAGATAAAAAGGGGCATAACTCTAGAAAGGTGAATGACTCACAACCCAAATTCGAACTCTGTCTGCGTGTTGTGGTTCTTAGCATTGTGTATGAGTTTCGTAAAATTTTGATGAGACAAACGTAAGTTAGAGTGCGGAAACGAACAAAATGCAATTTTCCAAGTAATAAAGGGGCATAACTCTAGAACGGTAAGTGACTCACTGCCCAAATTCAAACTATGTCTTTGAGTAATGGTTCTTAGCATTGTGTATGAGTTTCAATAAATTTGGATGAGGAAAACTTAAGTAAGAGTGCGGAAACGAAAACATTTGCAATTTCCCAAGTTATAAAGGGGCATAACTCTAGAACCGTTAGTGGCTCACTGCCCAAATTCGAACTCTGTCTGCGAGTTTATGTTTTCAGCATTGTGTACGAGTTTCATAAAATTTGGATGAGGAAAACTTATGTTAGAGTGCAGAAACGAAAATGGGACGGACGGAAGGACGGACAGACGGAAAGACAGACGGATGGTCAAGGGTAACACTTAATGCCCCCGTTGCCTACGGCGGGTGCATAAAAACACCAAAAGGTCAGCATGCAGTCAACATTCTACAATATATGTCAAGCTATAACTTGTCTATATTTAGGATACTACCAAATTTTCTTAATGGCCAATTTTCATAGAGTTTTGTTACGAGTCTTGTTGCCATTCAGTGATTTATGTTCCTTTTAATTAAATATATAGGACAATATTGGTTTGTCAGAGAGTAAGTTTATTGGTATATTTTTGTAAATTGATGTTATTCTAAAAGAGAGAACTAAAATATCTGTACATGATAGTTTTCATAACGAAATACTAAGTATGCCATTCTTTACTTTTTAAGCCATGTTCCTACAATGTGTTCCGATTGTCCCCTACAGTAAATATTTGCAGTGTCAATGAAGTTACCACCAAGCTCCACAAAACGGTCCATTATACGATGGGCCTTTTCTTCGTCTGCCTGAGTTGGGCATGAAAAAATCTAAAACATACAAATATACATGCTTGCCGTCAATTGTATTTTGAACGACGCTGGAGATCAAAATGGACGTTTTCTGTGGGAATTATTCGCTATGAAATGCAGCAAAATCTTGCATAAAGTAAGTCTATTTGCATTTGTTCACTATAAATCGTGGAACACTGCTTAATCTTAGAACTTTTTGTTTCCTCCAATCAATTAGTCTTCCGTGCTTTCGAATGTGTTTTATCAACTTCAAAGGAAAACCAAGAAAGTACAGAAGCTCATAAGCCTGGCAAATTCTCGAAAAAGCAACTACAAAATTCCAAACAAAAAGTAATTGTGCTTTATATACATGTGTCTGTGTTTAGTATTTTTCAAAGTTGGAATCGTCTTGAAAGGTGTAAAATATTTGCTGCTGAACATCAAGCAAACAACAACTAATAGTTCAAATACTAGTAGATTAAACCAAATATCAATTAATAAAGATTTGGCATAACTGATTTTGGTAATAAATTTGGGTATGAAAATATGGCACTTGCGCTTTCCCCGACCCATACTGTCAAAAAGATCCGTCCATCAATCTAAATTTTTTTAAAATCTTTAAGTATCTATAACATTCGTTTACTGAAACGTTTCCGAATTTTGCCTATAAGAATCAAAGTTTTTTGGTTTTTTAATCCTTAAGGATTCATATTGATATTGTGCAACTGTGGCTATTTGGTGTGGCTGTATGAGAAACAATTGAGACGCACGAGTCACTAAAGTTAATTATGTTTATATCTGCTTTCGTGATTGAAATCTTTGGTCTGATCAAAATGGTTTACTTTACTGTTTAGTTATTTCGGTAATATTCTTTTGGCTTGGCTCGGTACTTATACATCCCGCAATTGTGTTCTTGTGTTATGGTCATTTTTTGTATTCTTGTCTTTCATTTTTGCTTATGTACTTTGTCTATATGCCAATTTTTTGTCTTTGTTGACATATTTGTTTGTTTTTATAGTGATTAAGATTATAACACAATGTTGACTGCTGTACCCCTATTTTTTACATTTTTACCTATTATGTCTGTTTGTTTTGTTCACACATTGTTGTCAATATAATGGAATTTTATGCGACTGCCATACTAGTGAGAGGTTTAACTAGATATAAAACTAGGTTTATTCAACCATTTTCTACATAAGGAAATGCCTGTACCAAGTCAGGAATATGACAGTTGTTTTCCATTCGTTTGATGTGTTTGAGCTTTTGATTTTGCCTTTTGATAAGGGACTTTACGTACGGTTTGAATTTTTCTTGAAGTTCAGTTTTTTTGTTATTGTACTTTTTAGCATGCATCAGAAAGCATGCTATGACATAGTATGTTGTTGTCATTGAACAAATTTATTTATACATACCGCCATAGGACTTTCTTCCAACTTGCCAAAAGTCATTGCTCCAAGACATATGTTTGATACTTTTAGTCCAGATTTCCCCAGATGCGTATATTCCACCTTGCATTGTTCTTTTTCGGACTCCATCTCTAACAGAAAATGTGAATATGCGTTCAATTACGGGTGTGTCTATTATATAGAACAACAAAATAGGTCAAACTATTTATAACTTATCAGACGTTTAAACTTGAAATAATAGATAAAATGTGTAGTCATCTCGCTATCATTATGGTTTCGTTTCCTCATTTCTATACATGTCTCTATAACATAGATATGTTACTTCTATCGTCAAGGAATCATATTATGTTGGACCAAGCATGCCGATATCAAACCATTTCGCATCAGGGACAATAATTCTTATCTTCAACTGCCTTATTTCCTGATATATGGTTAAAAACGTTTATTACTTTATGTAACAAAAAATAAAGTATGTGAGGTTATATTACAATCTACACAAGTTTGAAAAAAATATGGCTTGTAGAGGTTGTTTCGATTCTTACCAGTCTTAAATATTGGTGACTATAAAGTAACATGAAGTAATGTTTGAGACGTATCCTGACGCTGAGTTTGAAATTTTAAACAAATGACTGTTCTTCCTTATTCTGTCTAGTGTTTGAGACTGTATATTGCCCCCAACACGTCGTTCGGTTATCTTTGTCGTTGGTTTGTTGTCTCATTGTCTTATATTAAAATAAAAAGAATTGGTATGATTGCCAATGAGACAACTCTCCATCAGAGACCAAATGACTTAGAAGTTAACAATTATACAATAGATCGTGTAGTTAGTATACTTACAGAGGAAAAAAAGACAAACAATAAACTCACCATATATACAAGGATTTAAATTTTGTACGCCAGACGCGCGTTTCGTCTACAAAAGACTCATCAGTGACGCTCGAATCAAAAAGTTAAAAAAGATGACCAAGATTGCCAATTTATAATCTGAGCTGAAAAATTTCAATGAAAAATGAATTAAAATATAAACAAAACCTGATCAACTAAATTTAATAAAAAGATATTAATTTGCGCATCCAAACTCAAATTTTGAAGTTGAAGGCATGTCTAAATTAAGCTTGAACCGTCATAAAAACAACTCTACCAGATGAAGTAATTATAATGGATATAAAATTTGTAGTCAATATGCAAAAATGTAAACTTTAAATCATTTATATAACTTATCAAACTGTCATCAAGACCAAAAGATCAAGTCCTTACAAAAAATAGAAACCCCAACAAGGAGTAAAGCTCCACTAATGAGTCCATCGTCAACACAGAAACAGACTAAGCCAATATTTAGCAGCAATCACGGCTTACTTTACAAGTGGATTTACAACAACCTCAACACCAATGCATATCAGTGAAACCAAAAGAAGAAGGGGAAGGGGGAACAAAAGAGAATATTGAGACAGGGAATATAAAAGCTCCGTCACAAAGGGTAACAAAAACGGCATATAAACAGGAACACAACAGTGAATATATTTCATGGAGCTACATCACAAACTCTGTGGAAACGTTTTGAAGAATAAGATATGTCCCTTCTTCAAACGGTTATTTAGAGTTAGGTGAAAGCGATGTAGACTTGACATTGATTTCAAAGAATTTAACAACTTTAAAGATATATTATTTAAAAGATACACAAAATCTACAATCAGACAAGCATCATTATCGGTGGAATATTATCAAGAATGAAATAGATGTTGGACAATAGAACCAAAACATTATGACTATATATCAGCAAAATAACATCGAATTTATCAAACATCTTTATAACTTTATACTAAAAAATAAAATAAACAGGGAACTTAAATCGGATTATCCACTTGACTAAAACTGGAACACATAGGCATAATGAAATTATCAATGATACAGAAGAAAAACTTAAGGGATTTGTGTACAAGATACGGATAATCCAGCTCTTCTAAATATGAATCTTTACACAAATAGTCACACTTGATGTCGCCTCTGCTTACCATCCTAATGTTTCAGAGACAATAACCAGTTCAGAGAAGGACTTAACTCCACAATTTCTGTATTATAGACAACAAAATCATTGGTTCAAGAAACCGGCGTTTTGCATTTGCGCCGATTTTTTCTTTCATTTGCGCCGATTGTGTACAGGTAGATTACAGGTGAATGTTATTTCTTATTTCTTATTTCTTATTTATCATTATAAATCTCTTCTGTTGACAATTATAACATGTACATAGCTGGTGTCCCCTGCTCAAAACGGGGAGGTGAAATAAGGATTTCAAGCAATAGAAGTCAATTTATGCGAATGAAACGATTCAGAACTGTTATTCGTCCTCTTACAATTTTCAACGGGTGTAGCTGCCCAGGAATAAGGTGAATAAAGTTAAGCATATATACATACTTTAAATACTTTAATAATGCGTAGTCTAAGAATGCATGACATCTGTCATCAACAGGAGCTTCAGACCTAATGTCAAACGTGAAGCAGTCCTCGATTTCATCTGGGGGAAGGAATGATAGCCCAAAAATTGAGATAGTCATTTACCAGTGTCACTTGATTTGTCTTTATACTCTGTTTAAAAATGTATACTTAAACCAACAGACTTGATTTTCCTCCACCGATTTATGTGCCAGATGAAAACGACAACAATCTATTTGCAGGGGACAACAGTTATATACATGTTATAATTGACAATTTATAACACATATATACAACTGGCTAACGGAAGAGGTTTTTATATTGATAACTAAAAAATAACATTCACCTGTAATTTACCTGTGCTTAATCGGAGCAAGTGAAAGAATCAAATCGGCGCAAATGAAAGATCGAAACTTTTTAAAATCGGCGCAAATGTCATTACAAAATAATACCATACGAAACTGCTTGAAGCTAGTGTAATGTTCAATATAAGAATCACATAATTTAATATTAGTGAGTCTTAGATACAACTTCAAAAGAACTATAGACTTAGAACCATTGCATATTGGTTTGATAGAGTTAAGCATACCTTCAAACAATTTTCCAAAACAGAAATTATTTTCATTTTTAAAAAACCCAGTTAATTTCTATGTCCTAGAAAAGGACAAAGTTCACTTTTGGTAAAATCTGGGACTATTATACTAACAGATATTGATTGACAGCTTATCGTGTCACGTAGTAAATTAGCATTCGGAACATGAATGTAAACAATAGATTTCGGCAAACAAGTCAGCATTTATATAATACTGTTAAAATTGGTGGATTTGAAATAAAAAATTAAATATTAAATTAATTATTTTAAATGCAAAAAATATATATTGTTTACGAAAAATTATTAATAAGTAGTCAATATATTAGTATTGAAAATAAACCAGATATAGTCGAAATGCCGGCGCTTTACTTGACCGCTAAGAAAACAACGTGTCAAAGGTTAACAGATCATAATTAATCCTGATAAAAACAATAACTGTGCAATAAAAACAATGTTTACTATTTCAGTTCATAATTAATTCATATAACAAAAGTTACCCGGGTCTCATAAAGATATAGCCACATTGTTTTGAACTTTTGTGAACTTCGTGTTTACACCAAAATTTCAATATGGCTGTGAACGGGCCTTCTTTTGTAGTTCTAATTATGGCCTAGTGTACATATTTTCACGAAGTCATATGCTAATGCCACCAGAAGACCATTACTAAGCAAAATTAACCCTGATTATAATAAAAATATTGTACACATAACAAGAGGCTCTCAAGCCTGAATCGCTCACCTGTATTTCAGAGGAGAAGATTTTTAAATGTTTGAAAACTTGATGAACAAATTGTGTAAAATTGTCTTTGAAGGGCAATAACTCCTTAAGGGGTCAATTGACAATTTTGATCATATTAACTTTTTTGTAGATCTTACTTTGCTGAACATTATTGCTGCCTACAGTTTATATATATCTATAATAACATTCAAAATAATAACAAAAAACTGCAAAATTTTGTTAAAACTACCAATTTGGTGGCAGCAACCCAACAATGGGTTGTTCGATTCGTCTGATAATTTCAGGGCCGATAGATCTTGACCAATTAAACAATTTACCCCATGTCACATTTGCTCTAAATGATTTAGTTTTTGAGATATAAGCCAAAAACTGCATTTGACCCTTATGTTCTATTTTTAGCCATGGCGGCCATGTTTGTCGATAGATACAAACTTCGGATACATTTTATAAACAAGATACCCTAAGGAACATTTAGTTAAAGTTTGAAGGTAATTGGCCCAGTAGTTTCAGAGGAGAAGATTTTTAAATGTTAGCAAACTTGATGAACAAATTGTGTAAAATAGTCTTTAAAGGGCAATAACTCCTTAAGGGGTCAATTGACAATTATGGTCATATTAACTTTTTTGTAGATCTTACTTTGCTGAACATTATAGCTGATTACAGTTTATATATATCTATAATAATATTCAAAATAATAATAAAAAACTGCAAAATTTTGTTAAAACTACCAATTCGGTGGCAGCAACCCAACAATTGGTTGTTCGATTCGTCTGAAAATTTCAGAGCTGATAGATCTAGACCAATTGAACATTTTACCCCACTGTCAGATTTGCTCTAAAAGCTTTAGTTTTTGAGATATAAGCCAAAAACTGCATTTGACCACTATGTTCTATTTTTAGCCATGGCGGCCATGTTTGTCGATGGATCAAAACTTCAGATACAATTTATAAACTAGATACCCTAAGGAACATTTAGTTAACGTTTGAAGGTATTTGGCTCAGTAGTTTCAGAGGAGAAGATTTTTGAAATAGTTTACGACGACAGACGACAACAGACGACGACGACAGACGACGACGGACGACGACGGACGCCAATTGATGTCATAAGCTCACATTGGGCCCTTCGGGCCCCGGAGAGCTAAAAAGGAGTAGGTAATTTTATAGGAACAGTATCATTTATTTGAGCCGTGCATGTGGGTTCCGGTTGTAATGAGAAAGAGATTTATATTCCACTTTTTATTTTAAAAAGTGACAATAAAAATAAGCAAATCCAAACTATAACCTATAAATATGATTTTACAACAAACCGAACTTGCGTATCTCTTTTCAATCAACAGTTATAAGAAATTTATGAATCATATACTTTTTTCCACATCGTCCCCACGCTATTTTCATCTTAAAAATTTCAATCTTTATGTGTCATTTTTTACACTTAAGACGGGATTTGGTGATTAATAACAACTGTTAAAGATCGAGATATCTTTTATCATTATAGTAATCATGTTTATATTAAGGATTATCATTTCGAATAACTATAAAATAAAAAAACAAATTACCGAAATTATAAGATCAAGGCACGCTGTCACTGTCAAAACAATATGGCGTATCGATAAATAGCGCAGGTAAAGTCTCGTTCTAACGACCGTGATGTTGATATTATTACACTGATTGGTGTAACGGT